CTCAAGGCAGATCTGTTTTTGACCAAAATGAAAACCGTTTTCATAGGGTTGCAGGCGTGGGTTTTCCCCAGAATATTCTTCTGGGCTTTTCCTCCCACCTCTAAAACTGTAATTTCTTCTCATTGTCTTCTCTCTACAGGTTTCTTCAGGCTTGCGAGCTACAGTGCCCTGGACGCTTTTGAGGAATCCTTGGTTTCATTACCAGAAATGATTAATAATAATAATAATAATAATAAATATAACTATAATAATGAGGTTTTTGGTTGAAATAAAACACAATTTTGAAAATTCATTGAGACCCCCACCCCCAGCACGGGAAACGCAGCTTTAAACGACAACATCCAATACTATATCTGAATCGAACGATACGAATTGCTGGCTGAATAAAGGCAGAAACCTCCGATTTCGATTCTAATTATGCGAGCAAAACGGGTAATTTTAAAAGCCATCTGAAACATTTTAATAATTTTGAGAACAGCATTTTAGAGCGAGGAACACAAGTCTTGTGAAGTAGTATCTACACAGGCCTACTTGAAACAACTTAACCAACAAGATTCATGAAAGGCATCTAAAAAACACCTAATACATATACTATAGGAGCTACATATTTAAATGATGTACAATATTAAATCATGAAAATTGGAAAACACATTTTTGTTCCGCTTGGCTTCCAACATACCATTCCACCCTTGCATAAAGGTAAAATACACGCATAGCCATTTTTAACTACTAACTTTGTTTCTGAAAATAAATCCGATCAATTTTTTTCACAAGTAGAGGAAAATTGGTATCGATTTCAATGCTTCAATGCAGGTTGTGGACGAATAACACCCAAATCCGTGACGCCAACGATCAATGACAAAACACGGTTTCTATTTAAAGAAGCAATTTGTGCTCAATGTCACGTATACAACCACAACAGCGTGGAGCTTAATTAAGTATACCAACAATGGGTCGGAAGGAACGCTTTTACGGGTGAAAATACCACGAATGCAATTCAATATCGCAAGGAGGTTGCAAAGCATGCCATGTATGACTCAAGGTTTCAGGAGGCAATGAGGCACCACAGACACATTAATCGAATTTACAACGCGCATTTCAAATACAAGTCAGAACAGACTTTACCATTTTTTCTTTAAAGCCATTAGGTCTACTGCGAAAACAAACAAGAGAAATAGCCAGGACAGGATTAGGGGTAAAACTTTGAAGAAAAAAGAACATTGCTATATATTGCAATCAATGCAGTTTAATCTCACAGGCTTTACGTAAAAACTGTTCAACCATTTTAGTGCCCCCCCCCCACACGCAAAAAATAAAAAAGAACAGCCGTTCTTTGTGAATTGATTTGGTATGGCTTCGTCGCTTGGAGATGATTTTGCTAAAAGAATCTCAAGCTTAGGACCCTCCCCAAAGATAAAAAAAGTATCAAAACATACAACAAGATTGCATCACACACACAAAAATCAATGCTCAATATTTACATCAATGTACACGTTCTTGATGTGTAAAATCGAATTTCCAGCTTTTGTACATAATGTAGCGCATTATTATTGATGTCCAATCCTAAATGAAAAAAACAAATCGTATTCGTTTCCTCAACGACATAGAGTAATGTGAATTCTCATTTACCTCATTGGCGATGATGGCAAGCAACCCCCACATTTTCCCTTTGACATTCAAATATTGGTAAAATTTTGTTCACTGTGATGATAATAAATATTGGAGTACGTGCATCTCATGATAAAACAATGAGTCCTTGAATGTCTGAACAGTCCAAACAAAATGCGGCCCGTGTATTTTACAATAACATAATTATTTTCAAGCGGAGACAAACATTAACCGCTGAAAAAAGTCAGCTCACCACGATGTACTACTAGCTGATGCATGAATGATGTGTTTGTAAAAAGCAAATAGTCTGCTCATGTAAAGTGTAATGCTCGAAAAGCAATGATTTTTTATTACGCTACCACATTATAATTGTATGCTTCGTCAGAGACGTAAAAAAACAATTGATGAAAAACTCGCACTTTTTTTATTAAAAAGCTAAAGCTAAAAATACAATAAAAGTAATGGCGTGATGCAGAGAGAAATGCACTATTGTTCTATTCCACGAAATGATGACATCTCAGGACATCCTATGCCTGGCGAATTCCTCATTCGATATTGTTCCCTGCATGACCTTTGGAGTGACATTTATACATGTTTATTTTTAGATATTTTTTAATCTACATGTTCGTTTAACAATTGATCTACGTGTTCCTATGCAAACATGCACGTATGTAATTACCTGTATGAAATTAATAAAGTTTTCTATCTACATGTATATATAGAATCTCTGTATTTTAAATGTTTCGTTTGTATTCGGGAACAGCAGGAGAGTTCTTTCATTAAGGCAATTCTTTCGAGTGAATGTCAGCAGAACGACGGCGTCCCGACTGCAGTAAACACACACAAAAACAAAAAACAAAAAGTCTCAAATCTACGGGTATTAAATCATACGCATCTTTTTATAGGACTATGCCAATCGTTTCTTTGTTATCTGGGTATTAAATGATGTATTTTAATTTTGCATAACAAATAAACATAATTGTATGCGTGCTGTCTTGTAATCCAAAGGCCAAGGGTTGAGCTGGCATTTTAATTGAAATCAATGCTATTAAAATCTCCACTTACGCATCACGAGGTACAGGCAAACATCTAAAATGTCGTCTCTGTAGCTTCCGCGGCGCACGAAATGGCATTGACGTATGACAATGAATTGAATCAGCGTGGCTGCAAAGCCTCGCTATTTTTAAATTGGTCCGTACGACGACGAGTCTTTCGCGACGGGACGTCCTTAAAAGCATGTATACCAAAATGTTAAATTACAATGTAGTCGAAAATTATAGCACAATTTCTGCCTGCATTGAGATGGCATGACGTAGGTTAAAGATCACCAGCTGGATGTCCGTGCGTTAACATTTACTCCACGGTGAACAATTTATTCTTAGGTACCAGCGTCTTGATGCAGATAATCGTACATATAATCTTTAGAAAAATATTCGGAACATTTGTTTAGCAAAGCGTCTGTGCTATGTGCTCGCAACATTGTGATGAGTCATACAGGCTGTATACCGTATGAGTTTGTATGTGTATGCAAAATGATTAACGAAATGATTGTGCTGGCACTGGAGGAAGCGTTTTGTAACCCTAGCTCTCCGTTCCTTCCCCCCCCCCCCCCCCGACGATCACCGAATCTTGTGCTACAAGTATTTCACCTTCGGTAAAACAAAACAAATTCACTAAAGCGGTATTTGCAAATGACGACTTCCGACAAACAGTGCATCAACGATTACGAAGATACTATTTTGGACAGTACCGTATACTGGGAGATTGGTAGGGCATCGGTATACGGTAGCCGATTCGAATCTCGTTTTACCTTCTTTTCGACTGTATTTTTTTTACTGGATTAAAGGTCAACTTATCTGGATTTCTCGTGTTGTTTTATCATTATGTGATGATCTAACATTAAGGAACCCCTACAGAAATCAGATGGAAAAAGTAACTTCCCACGAGACAATTAAAAGAGAAAAAAACAACATGCAAATTCAATATAATGTTTTTTTTTCCCAGGGTTGGCGATTTTTTTGATTTAAAAAAAAAAAAAAAAAAAATCGGATTTATTTGATTTAAATCAGATTTTTTTGATTTAATCAGTTTTTTTTTGATTATTTTTTAATTTTCAAAATATTGATACGTCTAAACATGTGTCTAAATCTCCTCATGCTCCCTCATACCCATCACAAAGGAGTTTACAGATTCCTATTATACCCAACATCCACAAAACTCAATAAAATGATAAATGCTTTGAAAAAAATTGTATTGAATCAGTGATTTAAAAAATAACTTGATTTCTTCTACATATAGTCTACATCATTGGTTCAATGGTGCATTAATACTGAAGACACTTTAAGGAGCATTGCTTGGTTGATACAGCTGAGATACGTTATGTGTGGATACGAACGAAAACTTGATTTATGGTACGTGTACACGGCATACAAAAAAATATGACAGTTCTGCATGGGCATGTTGATTTCATAAAAATGCTTCTAATTTCAAAACTGGCGGCACTGATTGTGTAACTTATAGTGTTTGATTGATGGTCCAAGGTGGAGAACAGAAATCAGGCCTTGCACCTTTAAAAGGTTTTATATAAATCTCAATCTAAATTTGTAGGGAGAAACGTTAGGAAAAGTTGGGACTTTTAATACACCTTTTAATGGTTCATGTAAGCCTTCGCCAGCAAGTTGATTCACAATATTACTGTAAACAGATCAAGGAATGATTAAAGCAAACGTGAGTGTGCTCTCTTTAAAATTAAAAACTTTGAAGAAAAACGTTTAAACTCAGATCTTGACTTAATCAAAACAACGATTTTGTGTAATTATGCAAAATGTAACTTGAGTCGATGGTGATGAAGTAGGGGTATTTGAATGTGTTAACAACATCTTACACTTTGTAATTAAGTGGAATCAGTTGATTTAAATGATTAAAATGGCCCTCAATCAATTGATTTTGCCAAAAATAATTTTTTTACAAAAAAATGATTTAAATCAGTGATTTTTATTAAAAAAATCATTTGATTTAAATCGCGATTTAAATCAGTGATTTAAATCAACGTGATTTAAATCAGCCAACCCTGTTTTTTCCCCTTAACACTGTGTACTCAGTGTGTATTCAGTGTTCATCGTACGTCGGTGAAGGGCACAACCTAATATTAAATTTACATCACCCCGACGCAAACGCCACCTTATGAAAATACATGCAATCTTTAAAATACACAATATAGGCCTACGGGCGCAAAAATATGATCTTCAGGTGAAACATTATTTATGACTAAACAAATCAAAACAAAACACCTATCACCTCCTACAAAAAAAATATTGAGATAGGTCTAATACAAATAATGCACCGTTTTAAAGCTCTCTGAAATATAAACACATTCTTAGGCAGCTACTTACCTTCAGTATGAGATGCGGTTGTAGGAGAGCCGATGAGCACTAGCTGAACAATAGAACGAAATGCTGCCAGCAGAGTCGGACACACAGGCGATCCAGTCCGTTTGTTTCACTTCTCGCAATGTGCGCTGCTTGCGCTGGCGCGCCGTTCTTGCTGGGCTCGATCAAAATGGAAAGTTTCCCCCCTGGCCGACTTGGAGGGCGACCTCTATATCGTATGGCGACAACGGCGGGAAAAGTTAACACGAGGCAGAATTGTAATGCGCTCAAATTTTGCTAATGAATCAAGTACAATTAATAAGGAACTGTGTTCACGTCCAAAAGGTCTACGAGTTTCTCCGTCCGTTATTCAAATAAAGAAGCAGAAAATTAATGTCATTCCACAACTGAGTCTACATGCGTGCGAATATCTGTGGAGTATTTTAGTGGGCGGTGGCCCATGCCCCTAGCTCCCCAGAAGAGTTATAAAAAACGTAATCCTCAGCTTTGTTAAAATATACCGTGGCGCCTGCCACTCCCCAGTAAAATCGTGCATGCGGCAGTTCCAATTCTAGATACGAGCCATCACTTGTTTACCGTGTATGCATGGCGATCAGAGCAATTTAGCACTTGAAAATTAAGATATTAATGATTAGAATGAAGCCAAATTTGATATTATTGACACTTTTTTTCGTGCCAATCGGATTTCAACTTGAGGTAAAAATTCTGTCTTTACACAAATTTTATCTTAAGTCGAAATCTGGTTTTATTTTCAGTGGATAAAAATTTGACACGTAAATTTCGTTGAGCTTTATGAGGGCAATGCGACGGAATTCAATGAAGTTAACCAAGTTAATTATATTAAGGTTGGTATATCAGATCTGTCTCTCTCTGTTCTAAAAAAAGGTTTTGCCGCCCAAAAGCGTTCTGTGCGCACATTGACATGTAGCGCAATACTCGGTAAAATGACTGATTTTTTTCGTCAAGCAAATGACGTCATGGGCTATTTTTGGAAGGACTGGCACATACATGTACTGCACATGTGTTTCTGTATTTTCCTATTGATTGCTGTATTCTGTATATCTCACTTGTTCTCTCATTCGTTGTTAATTTCCTTATCAATCGTATGCTTGCTTTCTTGTTTTTATATATTATAAATGTGTGATGTGATCTCTCCGTCACTTGTTTGCATTTTTTTATCATCGTGTTCTCTGTGAGTGTTTTGTGTTTCATGTACAGTTCACTGTAATATGTTCAGGAATAGTGTTTCCACAACGTGCATCGCTGTGATTTGTTGATCTGTTACACGGCACCCTGTGGAGACATGGGTACAATAGGGAACAAAAGACTGAATACGTCTCCACAGGGCAATTTGAGATGAATACTTCTGCACAAGGTTATCACGAAAAAGATATATGGATTTTACTCAAAAACTAGGAATTTCCAAGGTGTGATGATGCATCGCAAATTTTATGTAAGGGATATTAAGTCCGAATTTCAGCCCAGGAAATTAATTCTGTTTAAAATAGGAGCATTTTGAAAGTACACTTTCAAACCTCGAAAACTTTAGTACACGAGAACAAAGAAATGACTCCACAAGCATACAAATTTCAGTATGGGTGTCTTCATTCATATTGCGTCACTTATGATTTGTTATCGTAATTTGAGAATGATCATTATATTTCCCTGGCTTCATGCTCTTTGCAAGAGTTGTGTTTCACGTCAAAATCTGTGCTGCATATGTGACAACTATATCACCAATCCTCCTTCCCCGGTAATGCAGAAATATCCCGCGGTCAATGATTATCGAAATACCCAGCATGATATGTAACAGACAATGACAGATCGAGAGTATACCCATCCACACAATCTCACTATACCCTATATACACACCCCAGACTATTTTACCTTAAACACATCCCCCAGTCTACCTCAAAAGAATTCCTGAGATTCTGGTAACACAATGACCAACAAAAAAAGAGGGGGGGGGGGGAGGGGGTTCCCCGTTACACATTGTGCTACATTATGATTATCGATATCCCACCCAATTAGCGGTGAAGGGTCTGCTAAAATCAAGGCGGATCTCAGCGATAATTGAAGAATACCCGGATACAGCATTTATCTAAATTCCGATTTGCATTAGTACACAACTCAACAGACTTTGCAGTCCAAAGTTCGACGAGAATTCTTCTTTGCTAGTTTCACATAACAAAGGCTGGACGAACTCATTGACCTTGGTACAGTACGCTCGTATAAAAACACTGTACATAACCTCCACTACGCCCAACCAGGGCTGAAGGGTATAGAAACACAATGCGATAATAATCAGTAAGCATCATATTTCATCATGTACCAGTTGGTCCACCGGGTTCAATCGCCATGATTTTTCGACAACTACTTCCCCCTCGCGGCCGGTAACGAGGCAATATCCGGTTAACTGGTCACATGGGTTTGCTGTCAGGGGCCACTAATTCACTATAAGAGTTCCGGGGCTTTCCCTTGTACGATATTGTCGCAACACAATAGCTCCTCCATCGCAACCGGGTGAGTGAGTTAAATTCTATTGAAAATGTGTCAGCACAGTACATAGACGATCACACTATTCACTTCACTGGCGATTTCATTCCCACCATTCGGCAACACACGCTGAGCGGTAACGGCGTGATGCACCTTGCCAGGTATATATATAGGCCTACAGATTGTTTTGGTGTGTATTTCTGCTGTTTTCAGTTAGTGAACTTAGTGTAGGCTCAGATAAGGGAGGATCACATCAGCGAATACAATGTCATGTATCCCTATGTATTGCTATAAAAGTTATTTTTCTTGCTCTTTCAGTACGGCACCACTCGGCAAGCACTCCCCAATAATCAAAATGGAGACCGACGACGAAGCCCAAATGGAGGGTTATCTGCAGAAGCGTTTCAGGAGTGGAATGGTGAAGGTACGTAGGCCGAAACCTCACAGGTGTTGCTGCACCCAGCAGATGAATCGAAGTACATGTATTGCAATATCAGACTGCTTGGATTTGTGTGCTAAAAAAAAACATGCAAAACTTAACTAAATCAGGCCAACTTTACTCACTCTTTGGCTGACAAAATTCTCCAAAAATGTTCATGAGGCAAAGACAAGGTCCTCAGTATTTCACCAGCCAAGTTTGAAGTCTCAATGCAATTTTTAAACGAGACTTTCCTTCCATATTTTGCACATGAGAGGAAAGTCAAGTGATTTCAAAATGAGGCTAAAGACTAGATGGTACATGTCCCATCATGGTCCAACTGTTTGAAAAGACTGACCGTTCATTCAGTGTCATTAGTCTGGTGGCTGACTACGGAGAAATGTGTATAAATAGAGACTAGTACCAGACATGCCAGATGTTTTGGCACAGTGGAATGATGCATTACTGAAGGGTTGTTGGACTGTTTGTTTCAGGTGCCAGTCTATTTTCTTGTATGTCATGTTTTCAATACCTTAAGTTTTGGGACTCTCATACACAGTATAGAGTCCCAAATTTCGGACTTCCACTGGATGATGATGGCTAGCGGCGATGTCCAGTCAACTTTCTGAGATTCTGATACTATACTTGAAAGTGTGACCGCTGAAATAAATGCATTTTATTTTGGAAACAGGACGCTAGTACCTTCGTCATTGCAAGTTTCTCTACCGACCCTCATCGGGTACCAACTCGTAAACTAACATTTTTATACCTCTATCTGATTTCCCTCGAATTTAAAGAAAATGGGGAAAAAAGTACTTTTAGTAATACACTGAATAAATGGAACGCCCAATCAATATTGTTTTCTTCGTATACGAATGTGACTGGATTTTGTTTGTTTAAATGATTGGATTGCAAAACATCTGGCCATGCATTGTTAAAACGGAACTTCGGTGGTAAATTTCCAGTAAATTCCATCGTACGAGCTCAGTTTACTGTATTTATTGGCAGCGTTTCCTTTTCATGGTTTTATTATAATGTCGAAGAGTATTGACTCTACTGTAGTGAAAATTGTACGTGTTTTCATGGATTTCAAACGTAATTTAAAGGCCGGTTATGTTACATCGAATCAAAATTATATGAACAATGGGAACGCAACAGGCTATCCCGGTATTTTTGTTGTTAATTCTGTCCTTTTCACATTCCGTATTTCTTATTTTATTCATTTTATTGTTTGTCATCAGTTGGTCTTCCACTTTCTGAAAACCCATTTCGAAAACAGGTTGTTTCAAAAGAGCGGGTTTCATGTTTGTAATTGCATAGCTGTGAAGTAATAACAGTTCACACAGTCTGATGTTACATGCAATAACGAACTCTTGAAATGATTCTCATTTGCTAACAGACCTTGAAAAAGAAATGGTGCGTGCTGAAAGATGGAGAGATACGATGGTATCAAAACAAGGAGGTCAGTCACCAAAACGTAAGCCAAATACATGTGTTTCTATTTGATAGGGATAAATCAAATTGGGAACACGGTTATTATTTGCTCAATCACACTTTGACCGTTTGGAAAACAAAATGTATGCAGGCTGATAATCCGGGTCAATATAACAAATAGCGATTTTTCGTAAAACATTTTCATTTTTCATTTCGTCGAAATCTCAATTTTTGGGGACGAATTAGCAATTTTCAGGGGTGTCAGCAATTTAATTTGGTTGATTTTTTTTGCGATGAAGATATGATTATCTCATTTGATACATGAATCGACATGTTTGAGATTGTTGGTCTTGATTACTGATCAGGTGACTAGCCGATTGGTCGCAGCAGTATGGTTATTAATTCATTTAAAACCACATTGCATGTCAGATTTCGGTACTGTAACGGCGAAGTGTTTTTTTAACAACGTAAGGGGAAATTCCATAGCGGCGTAGATTACTGAGAATTTGTTTTCTCTTTCCCAGGCCGAGATGTATCAGGATATCCTGCCAGTAAGCCGAGTGCAGACCGTGCGCTCTGCCGACAACCATGGGGTTGAGGTGGTCACCCAGCAGCATATCTACATATTGGTATGGACTGGAGCCTAATAGTTTACTTTGTTCGTGAATCCATACCCGAAGTATTAATGACATTCATTATAAATCAAAATGACAGCAATTTCCATGTTATGTTGCGGGAGTAATGCCCAACCGTACAGTGTACACACACCGGCTTAAAGGGAAGATACAACATTTGCAAACATCAAAAAAACGAAATGATCAAATTATCACGAAACATCTTACTGGATTGTTCAAGGGAATGGCAGTCCAAAGCATTCTGAAAAATCGTGGCTCCTGTGTGCTGACATTTGTAAGAAAACTTGTTTTTTCCAACGCTGGTCGGCCGACCAGCGTTGGAGAAAACTGTTTTTTTTTTCAAAAAGTGCTCCTAATTTTTCATATTTAGTTATTCCGCATTTTCTTTGCAATTGATTTCACACCCCGTACCTGTGAAGGGGAACAAGCCTAGACTGATCCTCTACCTTACAATTCCCTGACATCTATAAATTGATCTGTTTCAACTTAAAGGGAATATACAACATTTGCAAACATCGAAAAATACAACTACCAAGTTTTAACAAAATACCTCACTAGGATGTTGGTAAATGACAGTCTAAAGCACCCTGTAAAATTATGGCACCTGGTGTGGAGTCATTTTCAAGAAAATTGTATTTTTGTATAAATTTCCAACAGTGGTCGGCCGACCACCGTTGGAAAAACCTAACTATTTTTCAACTGCTGCTCCAAATTCACCATTTTTTTCACTCCAAATTTTGTTTGCTATTGGTTACATGTTCATGAACGGGTGCAGGCCAGCTAGACTGGTTCCCTTACCTTACAATTTTCCGGCATCTATAAATTGATCAATTTTATCTTTAGTGGAGTCAGGGAACCAGACTACTCCACCATTTGTTTGTTTCTTGGTTTTTCCCAGCATTTTCGAACACAAAACTTCAAGCATGTCAGTGTAACAATGTTTGATCTATTATACATGTAGTAACCCCTCAAATAGTTCATTTCTGAAAATTACAGCAAAAGCTAATGATGTATATTCCCTTTAAGTGGGGTCAGGGAACCAGACTACAAGAACATGGTTAGTTTTCTTGGATTTTACAGCATCTCCGAACCAAAAACGTGAAACAAGTCAGTTTAACAATATTTGCTATAACATTCTAATCCTCCAAATCCATAAAATTGCAGCAAAAGCAAATATTGTACATTCCCTTTAATTTCCCGATGTGCCCTTGATGCACTTTTTTTCCATGCAATATAATTATGCAACTTCCCTTTATTATCATCGATCGATAATGTATTAAAATTAAGAGGATATTGCTGGAGAATTCCCCACTCAATTTCGAGCCGCCGCTGTTTGCGCAGCGCTTGAGAAAATCAAACAATAAAAGAGGACAAAAAAAGTTAATTCTATAATAGAAAATTAGATTTGATTTTTTAGTAACTTTTTTTGGTTCAGATACAAAAAGGGATAATTGAGATTTTCTGTTGTTTCAATATTTGTTCAAGGTGGCATCGTGTGAGGAGGACCAGAAGAAATGGATCAAGGCGATATACGAGGCAATGAAGGACAAAAGACCCCGATCGGTGTCCAACCCGGAGGAGGGAAGCAAGGACGCAGATGTTAAAAGGTAGGAGCATGCGGGATGTATGCACTCCTACATACATAAAAAACAATTGAATCTAACAGAAGCGCAACATGATATAATCGTCTCTCGTCCAGGCAATCCATGAATGGATTCTTATTCTTTCATGGACCGCGTGGACAACATTGACCTTTGTTACTGAGACTCTCACTGCCTTCTTGAGATGACCCACAAGCTATTTTCATTATACAAAGTACAGTGGAATACCTTTATAGCGAGGTCCTTGGGACTTACTTTACAAATTACCTTGCTACAACAGATACCTCGTATTATCAGTAGGCCTAATGGAAAACCAAGAGAAACTAAGACTTGAGACTTAAAATGTCCTTGTTAAAGCAGGATAATGTAGAGTAGGGCCTGAATAAAAATTGAGTATTTTACACTTACATCTTGAGCAAGATTAAGTTTGTTTGAGTGTTGCGCAAATAGGTAAATAAGACTAGTGTACTCACCAAGCATCTCGTGTTTAATTCTCCCGAATGCACAATCAAGCAAGTTTTTGGGGTTCTTAAACCCAGTGACAGCAACGCTGGATGGTAACTTCTTTGGATGTTTGTAGAACCGGTTTTATTATACATGATGTATCTCATTGTGCTGTCAGTAAAATGCTGGAGGTCCACTTACTGTTAAAAGACATCACTTATAGAACCTGTATGCCTTCCTCCATCGGTCGCCAGGGTCTGGAAAAGTAAATAAAGTAAATTGTATTAGAATTATGATTATGACAAATATTCGGAGGCTGTGCATGTCTGTATCGTCAATGCATGCAGTGACTCGACTCGAACTGTATCAGTGTGTTAAAATGACTTGATTTGACCGGACGACGCAAGTCACAATAATTTATTTAATGACTCGTTATAGGTTCGCAATGGGTCGGTGTAATGTGCATTATTTTCTGCTGATTATAGAATAAAACTGCCTATCTGTGGCATTAATTTTCACGTCAGTTTGTTGTTCAATTCCATCTTTCAAGGAAAAGGTCATCGACGGGGCCGAAGGTCAGCATCAGTCGAATCCTCACCGGATTTCATAGGAAGTCAACGACTGACAACCAGCCCGGACAAGGCCAGGCTCAGTTTTACTTGGAACATCAATCACAGCAGCCTTCGTTTGCTGAGATCGGCGTCCAGGCTGATGTACAGAAAGCTCCAAAGTGTACGAGGGTCGAGGAAGGAGAGGAAGGGGAGCCGGAGGAGGAAGTCCTTGCTGACGATGTCTTGGAGAGGCAAGACGCAACTTCTCAGCCTTCAGCATCCGTCTCTCCACAGCAAAAGACAGACGGTGACAAATCAGTAAAGGGAGAGCGTTCTAGTTCTACCAACATGGACCAAGAAAGCAGCCTGCATCTTGGCAGCGACCTCCTGCCTGATGATGCAAGGGTCTCCGGGAATCATGTTCAGTCCGGGAGTGATTCCGAGGAGGAGGTTTCACCAGAGGCCCCCCTGGACAGTGGTGATCCGAAGCAGGAAGACGGGATGCACGAGCTGGAGCTGATGCTTCGAAAGTCAGTTTCAAGTGAGAACGGATACGAGAACAGCAAGGAGGTGTTTGGCAGTGACGTCGATGATGATGTTGATGATGATGATGATGGGGATGTTGGGGATGATAAAGATGACGAAGATCTAGAAGATTATGACATTGATGATGAGACTCCGGATGGAAACTTAAATAAGAAACAAGATGGGATATCCGCCTTTGAGCAACTAGAAGCCTTGCTTCAAAATTTCTGAACTGTCACTCGATTAACGGAAAAAGGAAGATAAAATAATAAAAATACACCTGTATACCTTATACAGGGTGAGAAAAAAAAGCAGAGCCAAAAACCCCCAAAATATATTTTAAATTTAAAAAAAAATGTAGCAAGCCAATTTCTTAAGATACTTTCAGATGAAAAAAATACTGAATTTGCCCAATCCTTTCAAAGAATATCACCATTTAAACGCAATGACCCTAAAACCCCTTTCTTAAAAAAAGGAATTTATTGTGTATTCTTACTGTTTGACATTGATTATGACACTGATGATGAGACTCTGAATGGAAACTTAAATAAGACACAAGATGGGATATCAGCCTTTGAGCAACTAGAAACCTTGCTTCAAAAGTCCTGAACTGTTCATCGATTAACAGAAGAAAAACACCTCGAGATAAAATAATAAGCTACTTTCAGAAGAAAAACTACTGAAATTGCTCAATCCGTTCAAGAATATCACCGTTTGAACGCAATGACCCTAAAACCTGTTTCGTCAAAAAAAAAAAAAATTACTATGTACAGTATGTTTTCTTACTGTTTGGAACAACAAAGAAAACGACACAGAATACATGTACATGTACTTGTTTTCAACAACTGTCAACGCCTGTAGTACACAATATATATATTAACAACCCTGGTAAGGCAAACAATATGATTTATAAAATCCACTTTAAAAAAAAAAGGGAAAAAAAGACGGGCCTTCAAAAGGACTTTGTTGAAAATGTTCAACTTTTAAACTGATGTTGTGAAAAATCGTATTTTTGGACGAAAGCGGTTTTCAGGTTATTGTGTTTAAATTGTGATTTTTTTTAACGGATTGAGCAATTTCAGTATTTTTTTATCTAAAGTAGCTTATGAAATTTGGCTTTGCAGTTATTATTTTTGGTGCTACGTATCTTTCTTTTAAATATGAAATATAATTTGGGGGGTTTTGGTTCCACTTTTTTTAATCGCCATGTACGCATCATGGCCCAGTGAGAATTGAGCCTGCTGGTCGGTTATTAACCGCTATATATCTTACAAGTTACCGCAGTTTGTTTCTCAGCAAGATTTGTACATGTACATGTAGTTGCATGGATTAATATTCGCACTTATAACTTCCATACTATACCACCCATCCTAATGATTAAACAAATAATAATAATAATACGAACAATATGCTAGTGAGGTTTAAAAGAATACAACATAATCTACTCTCTAAATGTAAATAATGAAAAAAAAATCACTCGAAGTTTTCCCCATATGCTCTTTAAACGGGGTGAGAGTAACTTCACTCTTTTAAGTGGTTTTCCACTATGGGCCATTGTGAAAAACCACTCAAAAAAAAAATCAAACTTCACTGTAAAAGAGTGGGGAAAAAACACTTGAAAAGAGTTGTCACCATGTGCCTCTTTAAAAGAGTGGTGTTTCACTCGTTTACATTTAGAGAGTAATTACATTGAAAACATGGGTTTGGGCTATCAAAAAGAATGAGGGCATTCATAAATGCAGTATTTTTTTTATGTAAGCACGTTTTTTGCACATGTTAGTACTTAATTAATATACAGTGACATAAACAGTAGCTAGCTCAGTCGGATTTCACTGTGAATTCTAGTTTGACATGTTCACAACATTTCTGATGATGGAACCATGCATGAATAATTCATCCATATTCAACTACAGATGTAATTTGCTCACCATGCAATCAACACCAAATGTCCAGTACAAGCCAGAACCAGATAAACTGGACTTAAGAAATCACGATGCAATGATGGAAAAACAAATTCTCACATTTTAGTATAAAAACAATGAATGTTCATGGCAGAATAGTGTTGTCACCGAAATAAATGATCCTTTCCATTGCACGAATGTAAAACATTCATTGTTTGTTTTATAATTATGAGTCCTGCATAAAATCATCATCATCTGATTGGCTATACTATTGTGACCGTGGAATAGAACTTCTATTTTTGCGGTGCGGCCAGGCTAGGCCGGGCCAGGCGTTGGCACGAACAATCCAGTCAATTTTCAAAAAATATGGCGATGGACTTCTTTTTAGGGGGTGATAATACTTGGATGGAATTTTCTCCCAAAAGTCAATGGTTACCCCCCTCCCCCCCCCCCCCCCCAAATAGCGGAAAGACGATGAAATGAGCTTTAATTTGATGAGTGTCTCAAATACCTTAGAGAGTTGAGAGTAGTTTCTGAAGTAGGCGTATTTATTGCTGGGGTCTATCATGGCAGTTTATTTACTAGTCTGCAACCCTAGCTATGATCCCGTTTCGGCAATGGCCTAATGGTGTAACTGCAAGCAAGTAAACAGGTCAAAAATCCGTTTGCCGAGCTCATGAATATTGTTATACATTCACATTTTTCAATATTAGAGAACTCTGAGCGCCATGGAATTGAGGGATTGAAGACATTACGACACTACAACTCTGGCCTGGACTTGGGGCTTCAATTTCTGAGCATTTCGGGTGTAATTGGGTCCGAAACACGGCGCTAAGAAGCCATGTTGTGGAGGATTTGTTTTCTTCAAAATTGTTACTTTTCCAGTTTGGGAAATACCCTTCGTTTTAGGGGTGTTCTTCTTTGGGTGAATTATTTTCTTTAAAATGACATTGGTCAACCCACCAAAAATTGATAGCAAAACGAAAGACGACATGTTGATCGTTTTTCGGCGCAGCCTAAACACGTACCTGTGAGAGTTCCGAGTATTTTAAAAAGAATTAGTTGAAGGGATTTATCACTAGTGTTTAAGGGAATTTATTTACTTCGTTGCACCCCTAAAATACACGTACATTGCACAGTGTATTGCGACAGTGATGCTGCACAGACCAATGAGCACCCGACTTGAGCCACGTCTACACATAATTATTTTTGTGCAAATCTGCCATGCTGCGGTAGGCTTTAGTCAAGTCCCACGCGCTGATCCGGACATGTGATGCACCCTGGATGCTGTCACGTAAAAAGACTAGTACGAGTGTCGTGGCTTCGCCACTCGACAGGTCTTTTTTCGTGCCATTATCATGGGCGCCATGCTTAGACACGCGCCTTGACTAAAGGCTACGCTGCGGCGATTATGAGAACACAAGAGGGCGCCATACTCGGGAAATCCCCCAACAGTGACTAGTGACAGCAGATAAACAAGCTTAGGCCAAAAAAAAAAGTCTCCGGTTTCTGGTATGGAGCTTGCCCCGTTTTTTTTTGCTTCAAATGGCGGCTGATGACTGCAAATGGTGCCCGACTAAACTTAGTGCAAATATCATGGAAGACCAGAGAGGCCACATAAAGCTTATTCTCGATCATAACCCCATTTAAAAACACGTTAAAATTGTGCAGCAGCAGGATTCCAGTCAAACCAGTGAGTTTGGCGATTTTGAGACATCATCTTTCATTGAAAAAAAAAAACATTTTTCATTTTGCCGACGCGCATGGCTACGGCGACGCGCGCGCATACCAGAAACCGGAGACTTTTTTTTTTTGGCCTTATGACCAGTCATTATACATGTACAATGTACATGTACATACTGTACATGCACAATTTTCAACGAAGTCAAGATTGTACAAGTACCATTTCTAGGCCGTGGACCGGATAGCAGTCGAGACAGAACATGCACAGTGGTAATTTCTCCTTTCAACCTTTGCGACTCAGGTTCACATCCCACCCAGGCCGACATAAATAATTTTGATTTCTGATTTGTACAGTGCATTGAGAGTTTCCAAATTACCATGCATAAAATCTGCGTCATGTACAAGTACAGTCGAATCTCGTTAGTACAAACTCTGTTAATACAAAATTCTGGTTATAACTAACATAAAGCCTTAGTCCCGACTGTGCATTTATGTGCACAATGAATGGGACTGATGTTCCTCTTAATACAAAATTCTGATACAACAAACAATATGGCTCTGTCCGAACGAGTTTGTATTAACGAGACTCGACTGTACATGTACGGTACTGTAGTTTTAATTTGTTCGGTGGGGGGGGGGGGGGGGGGCTCCTGTTAGAATGATTCCGGTCAGTAAAATTAACAACGAACGATCTCGCTGAAATAGCTTTAGGCCCCCCCCCCCCCCCCCCCCCCCCCAAAGTCTCCGGTTTCTGGTATGCGCGCGCGTCGCCGTAGCCATGAGCGTCGGCAAAATGAAAAAGTTTTTTTTCAATGAAAGATGATGTCTCAAAACCGCCAAATTCACTGGTATGACTGGAATCCTGCTGCTGCACAATTTTAACGTGTTTTTAGATTGGGTTATGGTCGAGAATAAGCTTTATGTGGCCTCTCTGGACTCCCATATATTTGCACTAAGTTTAGTCGGGCACCATTTGCAGTCATCAGCCGACATTTGAAGCAAAAAAATCAGGTAAAAAAAAAAAAAAGCCGCACCACTTTTTGGGCAAGCTCCATACCAGAAACCGGAGACCTTTTTTTTTGGCCTTAGTGGCCCATAAACAATGTACATGTATCAGTATTAAGCAAGCCTTTCCCGCGGCACCAAACTTTCCGCTGGTACATGTAACAAACGGCTACTACATGTACTAAACTTAGTTAATTTCAGCCAGGAAGATTGGTCTTAATCCACGATCTATTTATTCACAGTAATATATTTCAGGATAAATATTTTTTCACAAAAGATAAGCTTAACTTAGTAATGGATGATCCATGTTTCTAGGGTCCGACATTGAGTGAGCTGGGCCATGCTTTGGCAAGAGCGAACTACATGTCTCTATGGGTCTGACATGAGCTAGGGCCGTGCTTCAAAAGGCCTGTATTTTTGAGCTGTTTAACGTACTAGGCTCGTATCTGCTAACATGGAAGGAGTTCCACATCTACGATAGATCAGTTCAATAAAAATTCAAAAATCCTTTTGGAGCAGGTAATTTAGGAAAACGGCACGAGCCAAACAGCCAGTTCATTATACACATGTACACAATGTACTAGTACTAGCCAAAGTGTTAATGTTTTCAATGCATCTGCTTAAAAATGTACCCTCTCGGTAGAAAACACGGCAATCTACAGTACGTACATTTCCTTCAACACAATTGATATAAACATCATCCTTATGTACATCACAGACAAGCCTCCGCAGCTAAAACCCGCGTCTACAGTCATGACAGTTTATTTCTTAGTGGACTTCTTTCCCTTTCCCTTTTTGGAAGAAGATTTCTTCGCCACCTTTGGAGATGCTTTCCCGCCCTTCGCTGGTGCTGCAGACTTCTTCGAAGCTCCTTTCGCCTTAGCAGGTTTCTTGGATTTCTTCTCCGCTGCTGCCGGCTTCGGCTTGGACTTGCTCTTGGTTGGTGACTTGGTCTTCTTCGAAGACTTCGGCTTGGCAGCTTTCTTGGCAGCCGCTGGCTTCTTGACCTTCTTGGGCTTCGGCTTGGTGGTCTTTTTGGCTGGTTTCTTGGCGTCGGCCACGAGGAAGCTTCCTGATGCCCCGCTGCCAGTGGTGTGGGTGAGGGTTCCCTTCTTCTCCATCCTCTTCAGAGCAAGCTTGATGCGGACGTCGGCTTTGTCGGTGAGCTTGTTGTGGTTGCTCTTGATGTGCTTGACAATAGCCTGGCGAGAAGAGCCTTTCTTTTCGTTGAGGTCCTTCACCGCCTGCACGATCATGACATCGTACGACGGATGATCACTGGCAGGTTTCTTGGCTGCCTTCTTTGTTGGGCTTTTCGCCGGCTTGGGAGCTGCTGCAGCGGCCATTTTCGACTGATAAGACGTCGGCAAGAGAGGGCAGAATTGACAATCAGCTGGTGATATCCAGGTTCTGTGTTTTGATGAAAATTGCGACCGCTAGAGACGCGACCGGCTAAATACATCCATTGCGGACGTTGCAGAAACCACTCTGCACAGTGACTTCGAACGTGCGTAAAATGGCGAAGTCAGAACACAATGTACTTGTTGACTCAGCTAAATGCCTAATTACTCCACATTCCAGCCGCGTTGTGCCCAAATACTCCCCAAATTCAGGTAAAGCGATAATTTATCCAACAATTGTGTCTATTGTGGTGGATCCATGGACTTGGATGTTCGTTTAGCAGGACGTAAACGGTGAAGTCAAAATGTTTACAAAACAGATTTTCCAGGTTTGAATGTGTGCTGTAAATTCACCTTTTTACGAATTGACCACCAAATGATCTTTTACACATCTCCAATAACCATACTTTCACTGACTCTCGCGCTTTTGCTGAAAATCAACTAGAAATCGAACAATTTTACCACCGAATTTGACGTAACAAACACATCTTACGGCCTTTGGCCATGTTTAGCCATTGAATTGCCCGTAAGAAAATGTCGATTTTTCTCATTTTTCTGCAGAAATTTCACCTGAGATTTGCCATACATTTTCAAAATGCTTGTAGACGCCAGAAAACAAGCGTACCTGTGTTGATTTGGTAACCAAATACGTCAAAATCACAGTTATTTTCCGTACCATGTTCAACGCAATACGGTGATTGACCTTAAAAACCTGTGTCGTCACTGCGGTTAGAAATCTCCTGCAAAGTGAATATTTCCAGCTATAAATTGCAACATGTAATTGATTTTCAGCTTTTCAAACGATTACAGACATCAAAGTTGATTAATAATTACATGAGAGAAAAACCAATCAGTCAAGCGACTTTTTTCCATTTAAATTTTTTGAAATAAGTGATTTTTATGTTTCATTTTTCATCATCGCATTTACTGAATCAATCCGACCGTGCTTCGACAGAACCAAATTTTTGGTCGAATGTAGTTTCAAATTGGGTTGGGAAATACCATATTTTTAGCATTCGACAAATTCAAAATTCATGTTTCCACAACATATAATATGATTACGCCCTTATCTATTTTATGTCTTCTTTACTGGACGTTTCGTTGAAATTTGCCGTCCATTTCGTACATGGCTTTGACAGTGTAAGCCCGTTGCAATCTCCGTTTCGACGTGACTCGGCTTTGACATTGCATTTGAAGTGTACAGAACGAACACAATATAGCACGCATTCATCGAAAAACATTATGAACTGTACGGAACTGTTTGCATTTACATGTATTTCATTTCCCTCGAAAGTTAACATTCGGTGCCAAACAACTACATATAAACTATTTTATTCTAGATAATTGTTAGTATGGAGAAAAGTGTTAATCACTGAAGAGTGAAAAAGAAGGGAAAAAAGGAAACTTTTCTCTTGGATGTTGGACCGTGAGATCACTTATCAACCCACCCGATACGAAAGTGCTCCGTTGCTCATTTTTACTGCCTGAACCTGCAAATGTTTCCAGACCTTAGCTCACAAGAAAAAAATTACGAGGAGTCACTTTTTAGGCTTCTTTGGACCCATGTTCATGAATAGTATTCGGAAATGAGAACTGCGAAAAATAACAATAAAAAGGTAAAGGGAAGATTGTTTTATATGCTAAGCAGCTATTTGGGAAAACATCATACCTTTTTATAGCTTTTCAGTTCCAACATTTAATTGACATTTTGAAAACAATTTGAGGAATCTACATAGTTAACCTTTTCCACTTTCAGAATCTCTACAGAAGACTTTAATTACAATCTGTGTTTTTTACCATGTGGATCATGGATGTCTCATCAGCTCATCATGGACAGTTATTAGTTAATGTTCATTTTTTTGGGGTCTAGATGTGATTATTTTGGCATTTAGGCCTACGTGTACATTTTGGTACCCCTTGTCACAAACAAGCTCAATTCTTACCAAATGAAGTTTTACTGTATTTTTTTTCATTTAAGAAAACGGTTGTTTGTATTGCAAATGGTCATACATATATCAAGTTTCAATGTCACTGATAGTTAGTTTTGCTTGAATACAATTCTTGCAATTCTTGCAAAAGAGTTATTCACATATTTGCATTTATTTCACTGACAGTTGTGTGCATATATTATGCATTGAATTTAAAAATGCACACATATTGTATTCCTTTTTTATGGAACCATTTCTAGGAAAACTAGACATGCATGTGTTTATCACGTGGACAAACACAGTGCTGTTTCGGTGTTCTTTTTTCTCGCATGCATGGTTACTGCTCATAATCCATAATGAAAAATTACAATTTCAACCAAAAATGACAATGTCAACCACATCCTTATGGATGTGAAAAACATTTAAGTACATGTACCTTTGAGAAAAATGACCCATTGACATAGAGGATTTATTATTAAATCCAAGGGTTAGTAACTTGTAGATAGCAATTTACCTAAGTAACTTAACTTTCAATAATAACCTAGATTTTTAAATTCAAGTGCAACATTTAAGAACACTGCTTAGGCCAAAAAAAAAAATAGTTCTGCTTCCAATTTCCCTACCTACCCTATTCTGACAGTCCTAACCCTAATTTTTTTATTGGAAAAATGAGAAAAAAAACACCCAAAACCATCATTTTATACCTTTTACCCTTGACAACATGCAGACGCCTCCATAGGATCGTACACAAAAAAACCTACCTACCCTATTTTCGAATGCCATGTAATCGGAAGCAGAACTATTTTTTTTGGGCCTTAATTCTGGTATTCAAGGGCTAGTAAAACTGCATTGTAGGAGACAGTTTTTCGCTTGCATATATACATGTATTAAGAAGTAATGAAAAATACTTCGCAGGCCAATTGTGCATGATGACTAACATATTAAACACATTTCCTTGATGACAATATGTAACATAATGGGATTGTTATTTTCTGTCCAAGTATTTTCATTCTTCCATGCCCATGTGCATGTACATGTATACACTAAACATGTACACTGCATCAACCAAAGACACAGTAGAGTTTCTGTTGATAAATTGATTACACATATGCCTAAGTTGATTACGTTAAGTTAATCGCAAATTACTGGCATACATGTATTTACAAAAAAAATTATACACTAACTGGTAAAATAAACGTGATATTATTATGATTACAAAGTTTGAACGGATAGACTTATGAGGTTTAGCAGGTGCAACTTTTTCAGTGTTGTTTATTTTCATTTCATATTGTAACTATTGTATGCAATTGTCTACTAGAAACAAACTGTTATAAACTACTTGTATTAATTCGAACAATTAATATTCATTGTGGTTGCATACAGTTGCACTTGTAGGTTATCTATGGCCTAGTTATGGCACATCATGCATAACAGTAATTACAATGGAACAGCGCCCTCACACTGTTGGCTTGGATGTCATGACCTCTGCCCTGTTTGCAATTCAGGTCATGACATCCGGGGTCTTGTGTTCTATCGCGCATTCACGTCGCATGACCCGGTTTTCGATGCCGTAAAAAAATTGTCAAATTGACAAAAATGTCTGTTGCAGAACACGATTCTCAAGTTCTCCCCCCTCACAAACTGGAAATACATTTAAGTACAGGCATATGGGCATGATGGACATTCAGTACGCTGACTCATGAATCTTTCATCAGTCAGTGTTGTAGTTGAGTACTAGTATCCGAGTACAAAGTACTTTGGAGTACCATGTTATCAAGTTTTACTCGCATCCGAGTACATGTACTTTGACCCTTGAGAATTGAATGAGTACGGGTACCCGAGTCCAAGTACTTTGACCTTTGAGTACAAGTTTTGTGAAGCCAAGTCCAAGTATTTGGACAGTCTACGAGTACGAGAACTGGACCTCCGAATCTGACTTTATCGCACACTCAAGTGAAAACAATTAAAATCTCAAGTAATGAATTATGAGTGCAAACTGAAACCTCCAATTCAGCAACATGTATGTTATGGACTACTTTTGGGCCAGACTTCTTGAAAGCCAATTCTCCAAGTGAGGTTTTTTTCATTCAAAACTACATTACTGGATTTTTCACCGAATGAGTTCTTATTATCGAATGCAAGTACTATGATGATGGAGTGCGTTAATAGTCAAGTTTGAGTACATGTTCTTTGCTTCTCGAGTCTGAGTACCGTGAATTGAGTCCGAGTAGATATTCTAGTTCGAGTGAAAGTACTCCTTGTATTTTCAAAAAGTACTTGAGTTGTGTTTGAGTACGAGTATCGAGTACGAGTACTACAACACTAAGAACATTTAGGTGAAGAAAATGTTCAATCCCAACTCCCCCCCCCCCCCCCCTTCAAAGATTACACACACACAATTTAGTAGCGTAGGCCTTTTTTATCACTCTAACTGCACTGAGTTAAAAAATATTCAACATATCATGGGTTGAATTTCGGGTTGATAGTAATTTTTATTTAACAAAATGTTGGCACAAACAGACCGTAGGCCTACTAAAATTTTGTGTATAAGTTACCTTGACCGGAGCACAAACAGTCACTAATGACTACATGTACGGTAGAAACTACGGTAGAGCAAATGAGAAAATGCAGAATACCAACACTCATCACTTTCAAAACATATAGTAGGCCTATCACAAAACTTGTAAATTAAGTGTAACTGTTGACCAGTACTGCTGCAGTATCAGTAGGCAATGTACATGTACTTGCACAGTAATTCCTCCTAACCAACTGCTCTTACACAAGTTACAATACATTGTAGTTTACCATGTTTACGATACATTACAAAATACAAATCAACCTTTCGGAAAGAATGTAGTAAGTTATCCAGACGCCAAGTTTGTGTACAAAGTCTATAGAGAAAATTGAAAATGTTTCTCAGGATTCCATGAATCCATGTCAGTCGAAGTCCCACATGTCCCACATTCGTGCCCTTTTCAACATTTTTGCAATGACTGACCTTCAGATATTGATGAAAAAGTTGCGTCATCAGGATGCAACATTCTTTCCAAACTGACCTCCATGGTCTTTCGGCTCACCCCTTTCAAGACTCTTTCTTCTTGCAACTTCAGAAAATGGCAACTTATCTATTTGTTCCCGCCATTAGCTTCTCGCGCACGTGGGAAAATGACAGCGCCGTTCTAGTTTATCAACATCCGGTTCAAAGTGGCAATCAAATTTTTCTCGGCATATTTATTATTTGAAGGGGTGATAAGATATAGTGACGGTAGATGTGCACATTTTATTTTAATTTTACTGACTAAATCAAGTAAGAAATCCAATGATTAATGCCTAGGATATTTTTCTTAGTCATACAGTTGGATTTGTATTCCTTTTTAAACATAAGTTACCATTTTGGCACAAATACTTATCCATGCAGGCAAAAAAGTCACCTATGTACAAAATCAAACAGTCCGGCACGGGTGAACAAAACAATTGTTTATGGAGCTTGTATATGGTAGCAGACGTCATTACGCACAGCCGAACTGTGAGAACTTGAGTGTGAACTACACGTCGCATAATACTAGCGATTTATCGTCTGCACAGAATCTGGACACATTTGTACACACGCATATCGCATGCAGTGCAGCACACACTTTTTTACTTGCAACACGTGTGAGTACGGTAGTGGAACCAAGAAAAACTTCTTGACCAATAAATTTGGTAAGTCAGAACTGTGGCCGGAAATTATTGTAAACTTTCTGTTTAGAATTTGTTTTTAGGAAACCGATGTTATATTAATGTGTCATAATTAAAAAAACCTTTGACACTGACAGGACTGACAGAAGCTTACACCACTGTACACTGCACTGACATGACTGATGATGGCTCTCTGCACAATATGACCTGGAAAAGTTTGAATAGGAAGGTTGAATCATGCCGTCGAGTCTCGTTAGTAGTACAAACTCGTTCGGACCATGGAGGTAGATGTTCGTTAGTCCGAGTAACTTGGACCCAACTTATCACCTTTTTTAACATTTTGGACATGGTCTGGCGATAGTGGGCAGACCATGTCCAAAATGTTAAAAAAGGCGATAAGTTGGGTCTTGGACTAGATGTTCGTACCGTTCGGACCTAGCCAAATTGTTTGTTATATCAGAATTTTGTATTAAAAGGCACATCAGTCCCATTCATTGTGCACATAAATGCACAGTCAGGACCAAGGCCTAATGACGTTTGTTATAACCAGAATTTTGTATTAACAGAGTTTGTACTAACGAGAGTCGACTGTGTAATTGTTTTGTTTAATATGAATTGTTTCATGTTGGGGAAAGAATGTGGCAACCTGATGCTGCTTTTTTTCCTTCATATATCATCCCAATGAAGGTCAGTCATTGCAAAAATGATGAAAAGACATGAATTTGGGATTGAGAAACATTTCCAACTTTGGTAGGAAATACTTGGAAAATTCTTGACTCTCCATAGACATGATAGACTTTGTACAAAACCGCTGATATGGCCACACAAAAAAAGTCTCCGGTTTCTGGTATGGAGCTTGCCCAAAAAGTGGTGCGGCCGCGTCGCCGACGCGGCTTTTTTTTTTTTTTTACCTGATTTTTTTGCTTCAAATGTGTGCTGATGACTGCAAATTGTGCCCGACTAAACTTAGTGCAAATATATGGGAGTCCAGAGAGGTCACATAAAGCTTATTCTCGGCCATAACCCAATCTAAATCACGTTAAAATTGTGCAGCAGCAGGATTCCAGTCAAACCAGTGAGTTTGGCGGTTTTGAGACATCATCTTTCATTGAAAAATACACTTTTTCATTTTGCCGACGCGCATGGCTACGGCGACGCGCGCGCATACCAGAAACCAGAGACTTTTTTTTTTGGCCTATAGCGTCAGGTTGCAACATTTTTTCTCATGTGGGTTTATACATGAAGTAAGGATACCACCATACACGACTTGTTACATAAAATGAAAAAACTGCAAGCAAAGAACTTAAGTTTGACAAATTAGCATACAAACTTATTTTGGTGGGCATAGAAATCCAGGGATTTTTGACATTGGCTTCAATATGATTTATCTAGCTCCCAGATCTACCAGGTATGTTCTTGAAACTTAATGGTTCTTGAGTCCGGAGTGCTGAGTGGTTACACATGTATACATGTACTTCCAGAACTGTAACGTTTTTACAAACCTTAGGCAAAAAATAATAATAAGTCGGTCTCTGGTCAGCGCGCGCGTCGATTTTAATCATGCGTGTCAATCTTTTTTTTTCAAAATGTTCCGCGGTAGCTCCAACAGCGCCCTCTATTGCCGCACCTCCTCAATTTTGTTTTACCAAAGAGCACCAAGGAATGGGAAATTGCACCAAGGCAAATGATCGAGAGCACCAAGGCAAATTATGGAGGACACCAATGTACATGAGGACACCAAAAAAGCAAAATAGTACCCCACCTTGTACAATCCAAGCTTGAAGAAAAAAAAAAAAAAAAAAAAAAAAAAGCCGCGTCGCCGCGTCAATTCCGGAACTTTGGTCTGACCAGAGACCGAATTTTTTTTTTTGTGGCCTTACAGAAAGACCAATTGAAGTTGCTGTAGCAGAAAATTCTCAATTTTTTCAAACCACCAAACTCTCCTGTCACGAAATGTTTGTCCTGAGTATTTCACAAGTATTATCTTGATGTGGATAGGTACCTCTAGGGTGGGTTGAAATCCCTCAAATGTCAAACAAAAATGTGTGTAAAAAAATGTGCAGAATAAAAAATCAAATTGAAAATTGCCTGCTTTAGAAAATCCAAAGGCAAACAGAAATGAACAAAATGTGGCCACCTATAAGGGAAGGATAAAATATAAAAAACAAACAAGTTTTTTAGTATGAAACCTAGATCTCAGTGCACATAGCAACATATTTTCTGGTTGATTTTCACACAGTCACACATTAATAGCATTGGTTGACTTCAGACCTTGAGCATAAAACTATGCATGTGTACGGTACAGCAAGAACAAAAACCTGGAAGGGCAGTACAATAGCAGTGAATCCGTAAAGGTCAAATGTCTTGCAAGTAATTAATCCCCCACACTGACCTTTTTTTGTCAACTGACATATTATTGTTTCAATGACCTTGTTTTCAAGTCAAACAAACTCAACCCATTCTCCTCTGTCTCTTTAGTGGAGAAGTCACTGCAGGTCAGTAACAGAGGATAAACTGCACTGGGACCTTCCTGAGAGCAATGTATCAGTCACGCTGTTGTTGTTCATCTGAGAAAATGTATAGAAGTTGCTGCACAGTGCATTATATGCTCCAAAACAGAGAGAGCAAACTGTATTGTTTTAAATATTAATTTGTTCGATTTTATACCCAAGTTCATGCCATACCCTAAAATATGCCTATAATGAAAATATGCCTGTATACTGACACATGACTGAAACTGAAACTCACAAAGAATTTGACACAGATGAATCAAGAAAGCATTCTTTAGCAGGGGGTGAAATTCCTGAGCTTAAGCCCCAGCTCATGTTGCTATCAATTTCTCATATAATGTAGCATCCATAATTCTTAAATAGAGATCAAACCTAAGACTGAGTGCATCAAGTTCATAAATCCTACACTTGTTTTCCAAAGTCACCAAATTTCCCAAAGACTCATTTGCAGAAAGTTAAAAAAAACAACATGAAAGTGACAAATTGTGTGCAATCCATGTACATGTACGCATGTACCAACATACACGGACTCATGTATTTAATTTAAGGCAATTCAAGGCTCATACATACACATCCAGAACATTGCCTTTTAGGTTCCACTCCATGTTTACCAAGATTATCTGCACCAATTTAATAACACAAAGGTGGCTGACACAAAGTATCCATTCAAAGAGAACTTAACTCTGAACTAATTAACATGCTGTGCTCCCTTAGATAGCAAGGTGTTCAGCTATAGTGTGTAGACTGTCATTAAACTTTTTACATTATTAATGAAAGATTGTTTTACCACAGACTTTAATTCCAGTGAACAATCTAATTGACTCAGTGGGCTAAGCCAAGAGTGAAGCCTCCTAATGCAGCATCGAAGAAACAGTTTTGTATACATATGTGTGAATTTGGTAAATTATTTGAGTGTTGATGTACCTGCCTTGGGTGGATTTTGAGGAACGTTTGGGTTTTTCAGGGTTGTGCTGACAAAATAATAAGTACTTCTTAATATTTTCTTCAGTTGTTTTTCAAAATAGGGCTTGATGTGTTGCATCACAGATGTTTCAGGAAGAGATTAGAAAAACAAAAGCATTCACTCTATTTACACACAAGCGCCCGACTGTGAAGTACTTTTCTGGGGGAAATTCCTGTATTATTTAGACAAAAATTCTGAAATATTCATTGGTTTCTCAAGCCTGATGAAGTCTGACGAAAAATGGTGCGTAATACATTATAATTGCAAGAAGGCAGTGATCGGCGATCTTAATGCCGCAGTCTGATCGGTTTATACATGTCTCGCGGGCCCCTCAAAAGATACGCTCTGTTTCACATGTGAGCTGCCCCGAGAATTGCCACAGGTAGAGTGTGGCGGATTTGTAAGCCGTGCAAGAATTGCATGCATGCTTGCTTGCCGCATCTTCACCAAATCATCCTGGGTGATACGGGGGGCTTTCTTTTGGATGACTGACTGTTCTCCCGCCTATCAGAGATTGGCCAAACAACCAGATCCGAGAGTTAGCTTGTTTGCTTTCCCCCCGCTCACGTCAGCGGCATGCACCGAGTCATGATCCTGGGCGCACACCCCAGTTTGAATTTGTGAGATTACTGTATGCATCAAAGACAGGGTAAGTCAGACATGCAAATCATCTTCTTCTTTCTGCCTTAATGTCAGATGGGTATAGAGAGCTGATTTGTCAACGTGTGGGACGTGCCATATGCTACTATATACTGCAGTCATCATCAGTATCATCAGCAGCGGTGACGGTTGGTTTAATTCTTCGCATTTTCTGAGGGGAAACACAGCAAGCCTTCATGTAGAGGTACATTAGTCATTATATAGTGTCAATATTTTGTTTCATTTACATTTCAAATGCCTGTGTAATGTGAGTGTTCATCTAACTCACTTTTAGAATGGCATGAATGGTTGCACTATGTATGAACATTTATTAGACACATGTGGCCATGCACAGAATCAGGATTTTGAAACCAAAGTATGCAAAAACAAACAACAAAAATGGCACTGCAAAACTTTTACTTTAAAACAAAGCTGACTCCCTATTTTAGCCCTATTGTAAATTTTGAAACTATTTAAAAGATAGTATACTAAATTCAAATTTTCTGATATATTGGACATTGCTGAACAAAATGAATTCCATTATTGAGGTGGCACCACATCCGCGTGCATGCCACACTTATTCTGAAAGACGAGACCCAGATGCACTTTGTTAACCCTATTGGTCAAAAATGCCCGGATTGTGTGTGTACCACCTGAGTGCGACTCGGGCGAGCCTGGTGCCACTGCAAAAAAAAAAGTCTGTGCCGGATTAGTCTATAGATATCCTGTCATTTTAACGCCACTCCAGTCTTGAAAGTTTTTTTTTTTTTTTCGCATCAACAAAGCTCTAGTTCACATTGAATTAGGACTGTCCATTTTCAAATAATTTAGTATTTGATAACTTGAAACTGCTTTTCAAATATTCAGATATTCAAAATTGCCATCTGCAAAAACGTGCCGAGCCTGTCACAATTTGCATGTAGAGCGTGCCAGTTACAATTTCCATGACGCGATCAATATTGACTGTAATATTGACAATTTTGCAGCAAGTCTTTTATAAGTTCTGTTGAGGGCTTTACCCCACTAAGAGAATTGGAAACAATGACCCGCTGTCGACAAAAAAGTAGCACCTGACAATAAGGAGCCGAACTTTACGATAAAATAACATCACAATCATGTGTGTACATGCGTAGTTTTTTGTGTTTTTGAATATTCCAACTGGCAAATAGGTATTCGAATAATCGGTTGATGATCGAATAGTCGGTATATTTGGGACAGCCCTACATTGAATACATGTATAATCAGTGTGGGCCAATTTCACAGCGCTGCTAAGCACAAAAATTTGCTTAGCACAAAAGAAGTCTGGCTTATAAAAGCAGGTTACCAGCCAAAACTCCATATGATGTATTGCTCTTGATTAGTATTCAGCTGTTGTTTGCTATAGCATGAAAATGACGTGGAGTTTTGGCTGGTAAATGGCTTTTGTAAGCCAGGCTTTTTGCAAAGCATTTTTTTTTGCTTAGCAGCGCCGTGAATTGGGCCCTGCAGGTCTCAAGTAATAAATTGATATTATGACTCTGCATTGACAGGCATTAATTAGTTGGAATGAAAGTCTGTTCTGATTTTGAGCTGAATGCAATTGGTTTGTGTCAGCGTAGAGATAGTATTGATAGAGGTCATATTTGACCATGAGTTAACCTAAATGGCCACGAATGTGTTAGTTTACCCTAAAGGCAGCAATATCAAATAAGGTTTGAAGGTTTGCATGGTGAAGATAGCAATAAGATAAAGGTTTACGGTAGCAGCATGTGACAAATCTCTTTTGTGAGTTTGTCAGGCTCTGAAAATAACCAAGGGAAACTCGACGTTTTGGACGGTATGCTCTGCCCGTCATCAGGAGACTGTCGACAGTCTCCTGACGGCAGGCAGAGCATACTGTTCGAAACGTTGAGTTTCCCTTGCTTCTTTTCAGAATATCTCGCAGTTTTTTGTTGATTTTTCAAATGGCAAACCTGTAGCATTTGGCAGCATGATTCCACCCTCTTCTTGGTGCAGTGCAGTGTTATGGAACTGCTCAACAGGAAGCATTGTTGCAGTCGGTCATAAGGAAATCACCAGTCAATTCAGAAGACACGAAATATGAACAATAACAAAGGAATGCCTTTGTCAGAGATCTTTTGATTAGCCTATTACTTTATTTGAGACTGGTTGACTTGTGATGGACTCGACTACACTAACCAAAAGTAGTGTAATTGACAAGCAAACAGCAGAAATTTGGTTTCACACAGTGTATACACACAATGAAGTTTTGGCTGATAGTAACAGGCGGTGTTTGCTGAACCTCTGAACCTGAGCACCAACTAGGTGTAGTATGCATTCTTTTACCCCACGAAAGGTGATACTTGTGACCGATTTCCTTGTCTGCTATACATCTCTGGTTCTATTTGTTTCCTATTTTGGCACAGGCCAGAGTAAGATGCAAGTCACTCATCTGTACAGCCCCTGCTCATCATCAGAGCAAGAATCCAAGACTCCAGCTGACGGCCAAGTGGGGCAGGGGACTGATGAGGAACCCAAGACAGAATGCAAGGCCAACTGTGTTGCAGGGCCTTCCAGGCAGCAGGAGGCCCTCCCTGCTGAGAAAGAGAAGCTGCTCCAACCACTGCCTTCAACTCCTGAAGATGTAAGTACCATACATTGTAGGAATACAGAAACCCAAGAAGTGGCACATTTCCTTAATACCCACTGGATGTTAAGGAACTGTTCTGTGGTTGCTGGAAAAATGTAAAATATAGAGTTCGGTATTAAAAGAGGGATTAAAATGGGGATGGAATACAAGAAAATGCTTTAACATTTATTTCAGCCCACAGTGTTCTGCTTGACTGCCTTCGAGGCATAAATCTCAAAATATGCACAAGAGAAGTCTAATACCAAAACAGCACTGAACCAACCGTCACTGAACATGCTTTTTTGAGCTTTGCTAAACATTTTAGATCTTTGTTTCACTTTCGGCAGCTTTCAACAGTTAAAGCTCTTAATGCATCGTCAAAATGACAGCCATGGAGCCATACAGATAAAATTACGAAAAAGCGCATGGCTTGAAAATGGCGATTGTAGTAAGATGAACCACAGTACAAGTCCTGCACTTTCAATTTTGTATGGTTCAGCTGAAATTAACCTTGTGTAAAATGTACATACGCAGTTTGACAATCCTGGCCTATAATGCAATGCCAAAGTGCAGCATGAAAATTGGGGGGGGGGGGGGGGAATGGGAGTTGTTACAGATGGGGGTGTGGATGGGGGTTGTAACAGATGGGTGTTAAATGAACAACCGGCATGATGCTTCTTGTAAGTGAACATGATATGAGAACGATACCAAACTGCTCACAAGTCCAACTGGTTCATTCATTGACTGCGCCTGTTAAATATTCAGTACCGACAGAAATTGCTCTGGATAAAGTTACAGAGGGCGCTCGGCAATGTCAGTACCGGTTACACGAAAGTAACACCTACTGAATAATACAGGCCGGTATTATACAATCAGGATGAGTGATGGTTTCCTTGTGCTCTGCCTTCATTGTGAGGGCCGTTGACTGCCGGAATGGGGATGATTCATCCCAGGCTGTGACATGCTGGAAATGGAAAGTCTATCAAAATGATTATTTCATGATTGTTATCATTCCATATGCGGTGATGAGAGGGCATGTGATGATAATCCCATTCCCGATATTCGTCAGATTTATAAAGTCTGGTGTGCACACATGGATGTGTTCAGACTGATTCTAAGGAAATAAGATGGGCCAGTCTGGCCATGAATGTAAAATGGAGTGAAATTATAAAAATTGCACTGCACTCGCCTATAGATAGATACACTACCCGGTATATGTATTCTTGAAAGCAACAATTTCCTGACCTTTATTTATGTTGTTAATCTACTATTTTACTATTTGTTATATCATGTCTTGGATACTGCAATTTCATTGGTCTAGAGCAGCCACGTGTCCTGTCTATAAAAATCACCGTTTACTTCATATATTTGGTTTTTATAAGTTTTCTCATACATGAATGACTTACATTTTGTTGTAACAATTTCACCCGTGTTAAAAACGACTATCCCACATCCCAACAGTCGACAATTGTTATCTATTAAATGGACATTTGTTGATACAGAGTGACACTGATTCATCGTTTTCTCCCCAAAGAAGAACTGAGGTCCAGTGGAAAGTCAGGAAGATTTTTAATAACTCAATCCAATTGCTGGGTAAATTCTCGTCATTTTTTTCTGAGTTTACCTTGCCATGAATATACGCATCCTTATCATATTTTTGTTTTAATTTATAGACAGTAAATTGGTACATTGCACATGTCACTACATACATTTACATGTACATGTACATGTACATGTACATGTACGGTAGTGTACCCCTTGAGATAGCACCGTACCTGCCACATTTATAAACATAACTAATTTAAAGATAATTTTAACCCTAACCGAATTCAACCCATCAAAGCCCAACAGCAGGTTTTGTTTAATTCTGTTGGGATAGATACAGTACCCCTAAACAGATGGAATTCACATCGGGTTGGGCATGTATGTACATGTATGTACGATTTCCCATGTGGGTGTTGGAATTTGCCTGAATGGGTATACGGTTCCTAGTCAATTATGCTGGGGAGTTAGGGTTAATGATACTTGCATGGCAAATTACACATGTCCCATGTAACAAGGACACCAAAAATGTCACACTTTTGGACCCTAATTTATGAATGATGCTATAGGGTAAACTGGGGTAAAAACGCCCATGGGGTAATAACGCCCACTTGACTTGTTTGCACTGTTAGTAAAAAATGACAAGATGAATTATTCAATGGAATATATTTTTAATAAGTACACTGTAGATAAAAACTAATAATAACAAGAATTAAATTCATTAACATATTTGAAGGATACATAGGTGCTGTTGAAAAAAATATTTAAAAGAAAGTTTGAAAAAATGGCCGTCGAAGGTTTAGCCTATATCGCTTAAAATTATTTAAAAGTGTTTTATATTTTTATTATTCTTTAGTTGATATATATTAAGAAGGGTTAATTACATAATTATAAATGATTAAAATATTAAAATCTATTTTAATATGTGCTTAATAATGTTTATTTGAGTGGGCGTTTTTACCCCGGGCAAATCAGGGGTCTCGGGGTAAAAACGCCCAGTACTTTCCTTGACATCAAACTTTAATGAAGCCTCATTTATCTTCAAAAACCTCACTGTTAGAACTTTCTACAGAATTATGTTTGTTGTATGAGTAAGTATTAGCTATTAGAGTCCTACCACATAAATATTAAACAGTGCATTGTGTGAAGTGGGGAGGTACATGTAGGCCGTATAACTAACTGACGTTACGTAGTGGCAAGGAATCTGGCATTTGTTTAGTCTATGTAATGATATGTGAGCAGATTCGCTGATTAATTAGGCAAGACCCCGCCTCTTGACCTCCTAGATTTTGACCAATCAGCAGGCACTTTCTATATCGGGTTTTCCTTCATTCACCCGTTGCGCGTCATAGACAATAGATTAAAAAGCCCTGTGTCACGCACTCTGTTATCATGTTACTCGATAACGCGCCCGGCTGTTGTTGCATTACAAAACACTGCATTCGAATTGACCAATCAAACTTTTACCGGTAGTCCTGATTTGGGAATGCAAGGACGTTTAGTAAAGCCGACTCCAATTGGCTGAGGCGTGAGATCGCATAAATTTGCATGCTTTGATATATCAGACGTTAGACAGGAGTCTGGGCTCCGTGGATAACGGGTGATACTCAGACTAGCATTTGTTAGGGAATGCCCGAGAAATCATGAGCTCATGGCATTTTGTCAAGAAAAAAAAATAACACATCTGTGGTGATTTCAGTGTACTTTTAATAAGTAAAAATGACTAGAAATGGTTCTAAGACCCAACTAGACTGGTTTCTGCTCTCATGCTCTAATAGCAGAGCTTCGTCATCAGTAGTACGCCAAAACCAGTATTTTATATTCGGCTAAATTAGTCGTGTCAAATGTTAGAGTACATACATGTAGATACACATAAGTGCATCTAATTGCATTTTTGTGAACCTTGTAATGAGTCCAATTCCTGGTTATTGATAAATCTTGATTTGACAAGTACACCTTCAAGATTTTTGGCCTTATATAGGCAGTAATTGGTTCGCTGGGAAACGGATTGCATAATTTCAGGTGTTCTGGAATTAAAGGCCAGTCTTTCAGCAATACTTTTGTTAGCCGCTGGGTTTTGATGAGTGGTGTGTAGGTGATCTTGAAGACTAGAGGTGGTTCTTTTGGTCGTGTTTCATTCATGATGTATTGCTCACAGATTTCAAATTGTACGTCTTTTATGGCCAGTTGGCAATTTCCTCTTTCTTGTGGTTACAGAGTAGAAGTTTCTCCATCATGTCTACGAATACATTTCTTTTCTCTAAGAACTCTGTCTCGTTGTTACAGAAATGTGCGTATCTTAGTACTGTAGTTCTCCTTTGATAAAGCCTTAGGTTATCAGCAGAAGGCTAGAAACATACATACATGCCTAATAACATGGAACTATGATTTGGCTAAACAAGATTGAAATAGATTTTCAATACAAGTTTGTTATGGGCGAATTATGTACGCTAATGTTCCGCTTCCTTCCACATAAAAATACCTGTTTCAAATGATCAAGTTTGTAGATATAATTAACCAGATGTGTTTGAAAAGTTATTTGTATTTGATGGAGTATCCCTCAATATTAAATTAATTACAAAAATATGACTATACTACAAGGAAGCCTGTGGTATAGCCATTTTTTTTTTATAAATGTGGGCGGGCGTTTTTACCCTGAGGCCCGGGTAAAAACGCCCGCCAAACTTCCTCCCGAAAAGGGGGGAAAATTTCCCCTTATCAATATAAATTATAATGACCATGATTTTATATTTGCACCTGATAGAGGAGACATGTATTGCATAAAACCACACATTTATTTCCTGGTGTCTCCAAGTAGTACTGAGATATTTAACAAAAACTGAAAAATCGGGCGTTTTTACCCCAGTTTACCCTAACACTTACAATTTTATCATTTTAGGATTGACAGGCTTTTGAGTCACAGTGTTTGATTATACTTTTGTCAATCCTGGCCAGCTTGGATTGGATTGTTTTTGTTTAGTTGTGTTTACTTTTGTGGATTGCTTGTTGTACGTGTATCTTGTAATTTGGCCGAATAAATAATAATAATAATTGTTTACCAACGTGATGAACACTTTTTCCATCCTACGTGTATCATGGATATGTCCTAAGCTATGCACATAATTATGGGGAGTGAGTAGTTACAACATGATTTCTCTTTCTACAATGTAAAGTGCTGTGCCATTTCGAATAAATTAGTATTTGATTATTGAAACTTGAATTTGATCGAATATTTGAACATTGACATTGAGGGAAAACTTTTTATCATGTACATATCGATATATTTTTTGTCAAGATAGCTGATTAGTAAATTTGAGAGATTTTAAAGATGAAAATTAAGGGCTAATGCCCCTCATGGAAACTCTCAAATCATGCAAAGTGGCTGTCCTCCAAAATGTGGCATTTAAAGGCATTACGGCCTGAAATCCCCGAAAATTTCATGTTTTGGATTGTTTACTTAAAATCCATTTACA